CATGGTGACAACCAAGAAGATTATTGTGGACTTGTACAAAAATGGGCAAAACAAACACCAGACTCCCTCTGTGGGCACTGAGGTAGTAGAGAGGGTGACCGTGACCGAGGACCTGTCCTGAGACCTTCACACTGTCTCAGCTGTGGGGAAGACCCAACAACACATTTACTACTTGAGGAAACTGAGAAGCACCAACATCCCCAGTCCAGTGATGGTGAACTTCTACAACTGTGCCATCAGAAGTCTTCTGACATGTGGATTTTTCGTGTGGTTCTCCTGCTGCGTAAGGCCGACCTACACGCTCTCCAGCGGGTGGTAAAAACAGATCAGTAGCATCTACATCACTGACGGGGGCGTGACGACACCACCCTGCTCATCACCTTTTCCACCTGCTGCCCTCAACTAGAAAGTACAGGTCCATAGAGTCCAGAAGAACCAGACGGAGCCACAGCCTGTATCCCCCGAGTGTGAGGCTGCTGAACACTGCCCCCTTCCCCTCTCTGCCTTTCTCCCATGGACAATAACTACATCCTCCAATAAAAGAACACTGAACTGGACTTTGTGTTGTTGTAGTATTACATATGTATGTACTGCTCTGAATGTAGCATTGCACTTTACATCAAAACTCTGCAGTGTCTGATGCTCTAAATAAAATGACAATAAAACAAGATGACAATAAAGTCTCTTGAATCTGAAATAAGTACAGATAATATTCTAAATCTATCCTCATCGTCTAGAATATTCATAGTATATTTATAATATGAACTATTTAACACTACATGATAGTTGCAGTTTTAGCATGTCCCCACTAACAGTTACTTAGTTAATCCATTCATCTTGTGATTATTCTTCAATTAATCATTTGGTTGTTGAGAACGTGAAGGCTTCTTCTACTTCAGTCTCCCTCCAAAAGGGAGGGACAGTTTCATTTCAGTACAAACATGTCTTTCTGCAAGGAGAATTGTAAGTGTGGTTTTAACTTTCTATTACCACGGAATCATGCAGGTGACATGCCACCTCCAGAAAATTCGATCCTGCACTATGAAAGGAAAATAAAGCATGATGGGTAATATGGTTTGTTAATGAATTGCTTAGCGAGCAAAGACCCAAAGTCAATGCCCTGCACCCAACCATTCCTACAGTTCATATATACATACAATACATGTGCAAAATGTTTTCAATCTTCTGAAATAGTGAACATTTCAATGGAAATTGGTGTGGAAAGTAATGACTGCATAGTCAAATGTGTGAAGAAATGGATCATTCATAATAAGACATGTAATCAACGCTCGCTCTGTGCCCAACCTTTAGTATCCAGATATTTACAACCACTTCATTCATTCAACATCGTCCTACACCACCTCAGAACTGAATTAAGGGGGTATTCCGTGCTGGTACACTGGCAAGAAAGACTTTTGGTATATATCATTTCATTTAGTGTAAATCCCTTCTTCGTTTGTGTGGAGCTGGTCCCTCTCCAGAAATGAAATGTTGACTGCACAGACGACTGAACTCAGTGGCTCCGCCCGCTCTTTTTATGTCGCTCTCCACGTCTGTTTGGGATCTTTATCAGCCGGGATCTGATAGAAAGATACTTTGGCCTCCTTCTTTAGCAGATTGATTGGATGACAGAACATCCAACAGCAACACAGCTCAAAACCATAGTTATTCAATTGAAATGTTATCACACACAAATACTACACGTTGGTCCAGATGGATAGTTTGACTCCAATATGGCGACATAAACACCAGGTCACCCGGTTTTGTGACGTACACGCAAAACCTTAATAGACAACCATGGGATGATTAGGGAATGAGAGGAAGCTGTAAGAAAAGGAGGGAGGCGGCAAAAGGAGGAGCGGAACAGACTGGGAAACAGAGCTGGACTGGTGAAAACATGTCAACAAAAGGCAGAACTGTGACAATATGATATTTTCTTTTTTTGTCATAATATTTTTTATTGAGCCAAAGAGAGCACAATTCAAATTGTACAGCATTAACAGCGCTCAATACTTTTTGTTATATTAAAGTTAAAATAAAAATAAATTTCACAAACTGAGAACAAATATAGTAACCGACTGTAGATTTGGGGATGTTATTCACATAGTTACAGATTCCAAAAAGTCAATAAAAGGTTGCCACACTTTCCTATATGACACTAGTTTATCCTTCAATAAATATCGTATTCTCTCTAGATGTAAAATGTTAACAAGGTCTCGTAGCCACATTTTACAGCTTGGTACTGATGGCCCCTTCCATGACATTAAAAGTAATTTCTTGGCATTAATAAGACAATAAGAAATGAACTGCTTTTGGGCTGATGTCAGATTATTAAATGCTTCTGATGTACCAAGGATAATTAACAAGGGTTCCGGCAATAATGTCATCTTAACAATCTGCGATATTGTGTTAAACACATCAGACCAGTAGGCGGCCACTTTTGGACATGAGAAAAATGCATGGTATAACGTTGCATCAAGGGACAGACATTTATCGCGAGCCGAAGAGACACTGGGGAAAATATTATGGATTTTCACTTTGGAGTAGTGAAGCCTATGTATAATTTTAAATTGTATGAGACAGTGTTTTTGCATTATTGGAGCATGAATATATAGATTTGAGGCAGTCTTCCCAGATGTTAACAGGAATCTGAATACCCATATCCTTCTCCCAACTTTCTTTGTATTTGTTGGAAGATGGAGAGGAAATTGTTAATAATTTGTTATATATGCAAGAAGTAAATTTGTAATCATTTGGAGAAGTATTTAAGCAATCATCAATTGGAGACTGTTGTTCTTTTTCAAAGGATGTCAGAAGTTTTCGTGCATAATCCCTGATCTGTAAATATCTAAAAAAATTGTTGCTGTGTAGATTATACTTCCTTTGTAATTGTGCAAAGGAGGCAAATGTCCCGTCTCCCAACTTCTCCCAACTTTCTTTGTATTTGTTGGAAGATGGAGAGGAAATTGTTAATAATTTGTTATATATGCAAGAAATAAATTTGTAATCATTTGGAGAAGTATTTAAGCAATCATCAATTGGAGACTGTTGTTCTTTTTCAAAGGATGTCAGAAGTTTTCGTGCATAATCCCCGATCTGTAAATATCTAAAAAAAATTGTTGCTGTGTAGATTATACTTCCTTTGTAATTGTGCAAAGGAGGCAAATGTCCCGTTAATATATAAATCTCGAATACAATGTATCCCTAAGCCCTTCCAATTGTCAAAGGATGAGTCAAAATTGGATGGGACAAAGGAGGGATTTTTTGCAATTGGCAGAGAGAGGAGAATTGATTTGAAGGTAAAATGTGATTTAATTTGTTTCCAAGTTCGAATTAAATTAAATATAATTGGATTTTTACTGTACAATGATTTGTCTATGGGGGATGGTGAAAGTACTATGGCTGCAGGAGAGTATGGATGACAGTCTTCCAATTCTATAGTTAACCAGGTAGGATGAGTATCTGGAACTTTAGTGAAAAAGCAAATATTCTTAAAGGTGCATGCCCAGAAATACATAATGAAATTTGGGAGGGATAGACCCCCAGTCAGTTTAGATTTAGTCAAATATTTCTTAGCTATTCTAGGAGTTCTATAGTTCCACAGGAAAGGTTGAATGATTGAGTCAATTTTCTTAAAAAATGACTTTGTTAGGAATTCGGGAATATTTTGAAAGAGATATAAAATCTGTGGTAAAAAAATCATTTTAATTGCATTTATCCTCCCGACAAGTGAGATTGGCAGGGTTTTCCAAAATTCTATTT